GGGTTTATGTTTCACTGTGTTATGTGAGCTGAATATATGATCATATTCTTCATAAAGCTCCCTTGCTATGACAGAAACAGACCGGAAATAAGTGTGACTCACCGGCCAATTATAGTAGCACCATAACCTTATGGCAGGGAAGTGTCTTGTGTATTAAGAACTTACTCAAACATTGTAGTCATCATCATTTCACACCTGCTTAGATCTCTAAGAAACCCCAGATTCATCTTATGACTTGGTTGTGGTTTTTTTGCTTGGTTCTTTTCCAGACGTAGATTGCATTTGCTTTAATATTGGTTGCACATTGGATTGAATTCCAAACCTTGCAAGAGAAATTTGTCAGGAAAGATTTTGCAATTTTGTCCTGAACATTTCCCATATATGTAATCCTAATACTTTATAGAAGAGAGTCTGGGAAGATTATTAGAACCATATTTTTTGATAGAAAGAGAGACCTTTGTAAAATTTATGTGTAGCACTGCACAGCAGTATTGGTAAATAGTAGAATGAAACAGCAAATCCTCTGCTTGGAGAATAATAGAGGTGAAAATCATGTTTCAAAAACCACTCAGCTGGCTTGACAGGTAAAGAAGAATCTCTGCTGCGAACCCATCACTTTTCAGTTCTGAAGCTAATCTCTGGTGAGAAGCCCAGAATGACTTTGCAGGACTTGAAGCCTCTGCCCATACTTGTAAATTAAAACCCCCTGGGGGATGTTTCTAGGACATGATCTCAGTCATGAAATTATTAAATGTTTCCACGTATGATTATGGTGGACTTTAGCACTCTCTTAGGTGAACTCAGGGCAGTTTGGGAGTTGGCATGACCAAGGGACTGTTCCCATGTGGCGGCTTCTAGTTGGCAATCTCTTTTGGCCGAAAAAGAGACAGAGATACAGAATGTGAACTTGATCTTGCTGTTCAGCTGCGCAGGAGGGAGCTGCTCGGGGTGGATTTAAACTGTTAATTTAGATGTCTTAAAAGCAGCAGTGAGGAAAATGGGTTGTGATTCTAACTGAAATGTTTCATTTATTTTTATTATATTTTCACTGTATGAATTTTGTCAATGTTACTATTTTACTATGTAGTTACTCTTTAATGTTGAAGGAAGAAACATTCTTGCAGGAATCTTGTATCGGTCACAAAGGAAGACACTAATTCTCCTGCAATCAGATGAGATTTCTGAAGTGCTGGACTAACACTAGGGGAGATGTATATTATGAAATAGCACATCTTTTGTGTGTATTAGATATAAACCTTGCAGTTGCCCTTTCATCTATTTTTCAGTGTTAATGGTATGTTAAAAGTTAACATGGGCAAACAGTAGGGGGTTTACTTTTTGGTGAGCCAACAATTTTGGGACAGAATGAACCAAACTGGGAATTTTTCTGTTTTCCAGATCCGTTTGAAATGTTGTCTAAAAATGTTTAACTTAGTATTTAATGTTTCAGCATTTTCTCTTTGAGTTTTCTCTAATATAGGCAATATTGAAACAAAAATGGCTTTCACAAACAGGAAGCCGAAATATATCTCTTAGCCTTTTTCCCATCTTGGGCTGATACTGTCAGGTGTGGTCTATTATGAATAGATCTGGGTTAACATGTACTGTATTTTCAGGAAGTCTAATATATGCCATACAACAATCAAGCTCTAACTATATTGTCTAGTTTTGGTAACTAACAAAATATCTAATTTGGGAACTATTTTTGTTGTTATTAAACTGTAGTCATGTGAAAAAACAAATGGTGTTCTGATGTTTTATCATCACATATTTAGCAAACAGTAGATGAGCACATGCTTTTGTGCCTTTTATCCAAAGTATGAATATTTTCCTAAATTTTATCTCAGAATTAGTTTAATGTCTTCCTCTTAATCTAGACAGTACATACAATCAGCTAATAGATTGTGAATACCTAGTTCAACCTGTAAGAGTCCACATCTTTTAGGAAGGATGCTGCAGAGCAGGCTTGCAGCGAGACATTTCTGTAGGCCAAATCAAGGGTGAGTTGTGCTGTTCTATTGCTTACATATGTGGGGTATGCCTCTCTCTCACTTGCTCCTGGATATACAAAAACAGCTCAGCTGACAAAATTGGGGGGAAATTCAGACATTAATAATTAGTTTTAATTAGTTTGACTTCAATGAGAACACATACACTGGAGATTGAAAGGGAGCAGCTGTGTAATTTGACTTTTTACTTAACCATTCCTTCCAAAGTCCCCATGTCTATCTGTGTGATCACATAAGACAGTTCGGTTTTCCTGGACGTGTTTGTGTGGGTGCAAGACCAAATGTCTTCTAGCCTCTTAGTAAGTACTACTGCAAGAGTGTGTATTTATGAATCTAGTGTTCTGCCCTAACCATTGTGGCCTGTTCATAGTAGTATTGAAAATCTGTAATGTGACAAGAGCTGAGCCTCCAGTACCCTGCTGGTTCTGGCCAGCTCCTCCAAATGGAATCTTTTTCTCTGGGCAGACTGAGGACCCTCAATAACAGTGGTATAGTTTGAGCACAAAAAACTGAATTACTGTATATTGACTGTTTATCAAGATCTAGGTGTCATGTCATCATGACTACATTGTGAACTTGCTGCGTGGACAAACTCAGTGGACAGGCCTCATGTTATACCTTGTGCTCTCCTTTTTATGTTCTAAATAATGGTGTTAGAAAAAGAACATTTTGGTGTTAAAACAAAAGGAGTAGGGAAATAAAGGATACTGATAAAAACAAAAAGAATAGGGAAAAAAGTTGCTGTACAAAAGGTAAAACAAAAAGAGGGTGGTTAAGGTGAAAAATTGATAAACACATTGGGTTGTTTGTATTGTTGATATATGTTTAAATACCAGCTGTCTCCAAATCCCTGACTGGATTCTGTTCAGGATTCATATTCGAAGAATACTGGAACAGTATTCTTCGATCTGAATATTCTTCAATCTGAACTGCTCATCAGTTTCAGGAAAGCCAGTTGTTTGTTTTGAACCAGAGTGGAAATTATAGAATCACATAGCCAGCAAAAATTGATTTTTAGCATCTAATTTTTAGTATCTAATAGCATTTAGATTTGAGGAAAAAAATGTATGTTATTGACAACAATATGCATCAGAAAAAGAAATATTGTAAAGATTGTTGATACAGAAGATGTCTCTTATGGTTCCCTTCCATTTTGAAATAATGCAGAAACATTTTCTATTTTTAACAAATTATTGGAGGTTTTATTGTATTGACTTTGTATCTTAACATAAAAAGGTTGCTGCTCGGTATTCTGTTATATATTTTATCTGAATTCTGCTCTGATTCAGCAGTCCTACAGGACTAGGCTGAGATCTGTTTATTTCCTTCTGAAACATGTTTTACTCTTCTAGATATTATAGTGCAGCATCTACATGATGGCCAAGAGATGTTCACAAGGATCCCATCTTTCTCTTTTGAAAACTTTAGGGCTGCCTTCTGGAACTGTAGTGCAGCATGTTGAAACACTTGATTCTTCTCTGAAGTATTTAGAGTGAATCACAGTAACACGTGTAATGTAGAAATTACGCTGCTTTCATTCAAACAAAAAAAAATTGTGGGGTTTTGTTTTGTTTTTTTTAAAGCAAGCAAGCAGACAGTATTCTGTTTAGAGTCTCTGAGGGCTGAAGACACACTTTACAGGTTTTTTTTTCTTCAAAGTTCTTGATTGTGATAGTCTTAAAAGGAATAAGTAAGTAAGCAAAATTGTGTAAGATTGAGAACTGTTAGCAATCCCTCCTAGTTGAAGAAATATTTGTGCTTCTGTTGTTGGATGGGATTAAAGAGAAGCATCTCACTTTTGCCATTTGTCTGTGTCAGCACTGGAGTTTGACAAGAAAAACCCAACAGGCCCAGAAACTGCTTGCTTGAGTCTGTCTGCAATAAAGGAAAATTTCCCCGAAGTATGTGTCCTTGTGTTGGTAAAGAGCCACCTATCTATTCTACCTGAAGCACTGCTTTAAGACACTTTAGAATTTCTAGACTCATTAGTAGCTGGAGCTGGAAAAGTTCTAACAAGAGAAGCATATATCCCAAAGTGATAAATTGCAACTCCAAAAACCTTGCACAGGGATGTCAGTGTGACTGATAATCAAAAGCCAGACTGTGCCCTTATATGTATGCTTGGCTTTATAAGGACTCTTGAGAGGCTTTTTTTCCTCACATCATTTTCATTGTCTCTGCTCCACTGTTTAGAGGTTCAAACAATTTATCATCTGAATTTAAAAACAACAGAGAATACCTGCTGTTTTGCCTTTGCCTCATTTGATAGGTATGCAGCATTATCCCAATAGGAGTTTAAGATGATAAAATACCAAGTGATATAGAAGGCAGACTGAAATGGTTATATCATCATTAAACTTACAGCACCCTTGGCTGTTATGATGTTGTATTGGTGCTATGTTGTAAGCCTCAAATGAACAATTTGAAAGTAAATAAATAGAAATAGTACTGTAGGTTGGAGAGTTGTTCATGTCCCTAGATTTAGAAGATTTCAGTGTTCCTCTTTAAATTGAGTACGTGTGTACGAAATAAAAACTTGTTGGGTATTTTGGGAGTCTTCTTCCTTCCCTTTGGTGTGAGTTGAGAATATGGTTTGTGATGGAAGGAACATCCAAAACAATGGTTATACCATCCAAAAAGATAGCTACATCATAACAGGGTCAGGTGTCACTGTTCTGGCTGTGCTGAGTGTCAGTCAGAAGGCAAATAAATCCAGCTGACATGGTACCAGCTAAATTCATGCTGTTTGCAGGAAAACTTCTACAGGTGTGGATGAACCAGGGGAAGCAGTGTTGTCATGCTGCTGACAGCTGGGTGTAGGGCCTCTCTTTAACTAGATACATTAGTCACTACAGAGAATGCTTTAAGATGTGTTAGAAGACATTGTCACTGCAGTGCATTGAAAAGTATTAGCAGAGCTTAGCAAGGCATCTGTCTGTGATCAAATATTCCTCTTAAATTAAATGCATGTTTAGGTATTCCACTCAGCCTGTTCTTAGGAAGTTGACAATAGAGTTGGATCCTCTTGCTCTATTTTGAAGATGTGTTATTGAATCTTGCATAGAATGATATGACTTATTTGTGGTACAGAAGTCCCTGTGCATCAGCTGTTCACTGTGATTTCACTGGGGGGAATATAGGACTTTTTATGTTGAAAGACACCGATCATTCTTTTCAGCATATCAAAGAACAAATGTACTGTAGGTTTTTCTGTTGGAAATAAAATAATAGAAGAAATGGCTTTTATCTGCATTTCCATCATTACATCTGCGTGAATGTCACCAGTGCTAATGGGACTTGTAGAAACATAGATAAAAGACAGTCATACTGTCAATGAGACATGGAGCAAAACAGAACAAGGCAAATGGCAGAAGTAGGAGGGTTCCTTCCTGAAGAGGCAACCTGTAAATATGTGTAACTCAGCCAGCTCAGAGTAAAGTGTTAGCATGCAAAGCTAAGGCTGTACCTCACAGTGGCTAATGCCATGGCTGTGCAAACTTACTGAATGTTGAACTTTGTTGCTGCCTAGGTGAATCATTTCAGAGGAAAGAGTTTGGTCTGTGTATCTGATGTGCCATTGGTGCACATATGAAGTCTGTGGTGGAAGACACCCAGAAGGACAGTTCAAAAGCACCTGGGCTCTATGGCTAGGAAGGAATAGCCAGGACTATGAGGGTTGAGCTAGAGCTCTCCATTGTGGGCGTGATGGGGGAGAAGTGAAACCAGCAGGCTCATCTCCAAGAGTAGAAAATGGGTGAAGGGACAGTACAAAACAGTCAAAGAGGCAGACTTCTGGGACCCTGGAGAGATTAAGGAAGGAAAAGGAAAAACAGCAGATAAAAATGTTTTTAAGAGTATATAAAGATACATAGTAAAGGAGAAAATTAACAAACAGCAATGCAATTAGTCCTCAGCTAATCCCAAATGTTAACGTTATCATTGTGAGCAGAAGAGGAAGGAAGTTCTGGGGGTGGACCATTAGGAAAAAGGTGTTAACTGGGTTGGTCTGATAGAGAACACGGAGTTATTTCTTTTGGTATAAGCCACAGTGTTGACAAAGTCAGCATATCATACAGTTCCTTGTTCCTTGACAGTTTCTGAAAGAATTTTGTCTAAAATACTGTAAATGCAGTTCTTGCACCTCTCTTGCTATCCAAGCTCAAGAAACTCAACATTGCCTTTTAACATGCAGGTCAGAAGGAAAGGCTTTCTGTAACATGAAGTGATTGCTGCTGTCTTTGATGCACCCTTCTCATTTTACCTGGCATTGTGTGGTATTACCTTTACTGTTCTGCAGCCTCTTTATAGTCTGCCAGCATTTTTTTTCTTGAAAATTAGCATAACTGGGACATGTGCTGCTGAAAAAGCACTGTGCCATAATTTGTATATTTGGTTATTCTTAGGTCCACAGGGAAAAATGGTGAGTTATCTTTTCATCCCAGAATATTCATAGTATATAGAAAAGTGAAAATTTTCTAAGTCCTTACTGGACAAAGGACTAATAAGGACTCCTGAGTATATACCAATGAAGTTAAGTTTGGAGGGATTGAAGGGTATAGTTGAAGTATACATAATTCTACTTGCAGAGAAACTACCAAGACTGCAGTAGAAGAGGTTGACAGTGATTTGAAAGTATCCCTGCTGCTCTGACAGGACAGTGACCGTGCAACTTCAAGTGATTTAGTAGGACTTTGCTGTAGCCAGATTAGTTCCTGGCTGAGTTGACTTGACAAAGGTATAAGGTAATTACAGGAATGTAGGTGTGAGCCTTTAAATAGGAAGAACTGCTGTTGACTTCCACCGGCACTGGTGAATATTTTAAGGAGTCAATATACCATCATTTAAAACTGTTGAAGCATAGCTGTTAATTCTTTCAAAAAAGAGCACATGCCCATTCTATTTCTGACTATATATTTCCTAATAGATAATGAAGCAGGACTGAAAAGCCTGCAAACACCATGGAGACAGTCTTTTGTCAGTGTTGCATCATGACATATGCATGATCTTTTTTTCTTTGCTTCCTTACCTTTTTTTTAACTTCTTTTATTTCATTTCTGTTCTATATGTGTGTTCATTTTAGTGGCAGTATAGTTCATCTCATAAGTTATTTAATGTTAACTTGTGAATACTACTCCAAGGCAACTAGCAGGCTTAATAACCTCTTAGACACCTGGTCATCGCACTGCTCATATCAGCTGTAGACACAGTAAATATATTGGAAGTACTTATCATAAATTTCTTTCATTGAAATGGTTATATGGTTTCACTTTGTCAAACTACTTACATGTTGGCTTTCTTTGCTGTTTAAATACTGTTCTGTTTGTTCCTAACTTCCCCTGTTTAACAGCAGACAAACCCAGGGAGCACTGAATGAATCGGATGATCCCGAAACAGGCTGTCTAACTGATAACAAGCCAACTTCTCGACACTTCTATCCTATCGCCTTGCTGCTTGTCAGCTCACACTTGCTGGTTGTGTGGCTTATCTTAAGTCTTGCTTTGCTATTAGCCAAATATCAATAAACTTCACTCGTGTTCCTTTCTTTTCTACAAACAGCAACAAACTAACTTTAGGAAAAGGAATTATGCTGTAATATTTCTACAATCTCAGACCCCAAGGATTCATCTTTAAGATAGAAATGACTGAAATGTATTATGGTTTTGTTTTTTCTTTTTTTCTAAACTTTAAGGAATATACTATGCATTGAGTGAATTGATTTGCTCTTTCTGTTTATGGTAAAGCTTTCCCACTTTAATTAGCTCAAAGAAAGCCTGCTTACAATGCTGTCACTGTATACAAGAAGATGTGGAATCCTGAATGCTTGAACTCCTCTTTCCAGAGTAATCAGTCTGACAAAAAAAAAAAAAAAAAAGATTAAAAAAATATTTGCACAACACAAACTAACCCCTAGAGGAATATTTCAGGGTGGTGGTTTGTGAGACTTAACTTTCTCTGTGTTATTTTCATTGCTACTAGCTGATGGGATCTTTTTTGTTTAACAAACGATTATTACTTTACTACAACTAACCACTTTCTGTCAAGTAACTAAATGGAATGGAGTAGGTTCTGTTTTGTAATGAAATTCACCTGTTTGTAATTGTTGCTTTAGTTGCTTTTGCTTTCAAGACACTTTTATATTCTTTTTAACAAAGTCCTGTTTATGTCTTGATGCACCACTTTGGAACTTGTTGACTTTTGTACTCTATGTGAAGAAACATCATTCCCTTCTAAAGCAGAGTGTTGCATTGGGCTGTTTGAAAAGATTTTTTTTTTTTTTTCTTTTTCTTCATTGCAAAGCTGAACATACGAGAAATGAAGCAGAGATGAAACTTTCCTTTGCAAATCTCTAGGGCCAGACTTAAGAAAATGCCTTATTCCTAGAATACGCATTTTTAGGGCAATGTGTACTCTAACATATATAGCAAACAATTTGGAAAAAAAAAACTATGAGAAGGTTTAAGAGGCAAATATATTTATGGAATTAGAACAAATTAATAATTAAAGTATTTAAATTATTTTTAATAAACTTTAAAACCTCAAGGGCAAATATATTGGAGGGGGGAAATCTTATCACCTATTTCTGAGGGCAATAACTGTACTGGGCCTGGCCTTGGATTTAATTTTGTAAGATGTATCATCACTTGTGGAAAACAAAAATGTAAAGTTGAATCTTTGTTATTTTTACTTCAACTGTTGCTGAAACTCTGCAATGAACAAATAAAGTGTATTTATTTATTCTGTGTTTCATGAAGTTGTACTTTTTCCCCCTTTTACTAGAGAAGGATGCCGCATAGAGAATGTGCTGAAGAATGTCAAATGCAGAAAGTATGCATTCAACATGATACAGCTGATGGCTTTCCCAAAGTACTACAGACCTCCAGAAGGGACATATGGAAAAGCTGACACCTAAGTTTAACAAAAGTGTGATCAGGAACATACATCACGCTAATTAGTGAATATAAAAATCGCTGTTTATAGCTTACTAATTGGGAATGTGTAACCAGTTGAGGTGTTATTTTTATCAGGTTTTATCATTATACATTAAAATAACTTCAGTTAGTCATTATGAAATAAAATACCAGGAAAAGCAATGGACTAAATATTCTCAAAGCCAAATATATTCAAATCTTCTTTGTGAAGTTGAAGGTTAGTATGACTCATACACCAGCTAGAATTAGTTATTTGGGTCATTTGATTGAAGATTACAAAGGCAAATGTCATTTGCTATAGGAACTGAGGTTAGCAATCTGCAAGGTGACATACTGACTCCGAACCAAAACCTGAGATTTGATTTAAGGGGTCTCTTACTGCTGAAAAGAGTGTTTTCTGGAACCAGCATGGCACCAAGGTCTTGATCACTAATGATGAAATCCTTCATGGAAGCGTTTACGAAAGATTCTAATGTTAATGCCTGGGTTAAATATAATTTTAGTAATTACGTTTATCTTCTTTACATAAGCATGGTGTCTTCTTAATATGTTTTTAGTAATTACAGCCTGTAATTTCAGTAATTGCATTCTGATTCCTTGCAGTTTATTTGGATGTATCATTCTTGGCTTGCTGTACCACAGCCAAATAACACTCATTCACTTTCTTATAAATCACATTGAAATCAGGGGGATTAATTCTTCAGTAAGGTGACCTGAATTTGACCTGCCCTGTTCACATTTACTATAAACCCTTAAAACTATATGTTCTTTAGAGGTAAGGAAAATTAGTTATATATACAGGAGACAATGTATCTTCAGCCTATAAAGACATGTATGTTATTACAGAGCCTAAGAGATATGTTGTAATTATGAGTAACCTGCTGTATTAGGACTAGTTAGTCACTGCAGCTGATTTATATCAACTTTGTAATGCTGCATGAAGAACTATCAGCTTTCAAAATGAATGTTAGTGCTTTTGCCAGCTTGTGTTAGTCCTAAAATTTGTCTTGCAAAGAACATTTGTGTTTTCTGATTGTGTCTATTTATTGCTGCCTTCTGCCTCCCAGAGAGAAATACAATTAATCCCCCCACTATTCACTGGTTACTGACCTTTATGTAATGACTTCATTTTGAGAAAAAAAAAATATCTGGAGCAGAAGTGTGAGAATTTTATTTGAATGAAACCACACTGGGAATATGCACATCTGGAGGAAATTGTAATTACCATGGATAAAGAAGTTAATATTTTCTTACTGCTATGGAAGTCAAAGAAATCTTGATGCGCTGTGAGTTATAATTTGTTATTTTTAATCCATTAATGCCCATTACCTGGGTATAAATCTGTAACTATACCAGTAAAAATTATATTTAAGAGCCTGATTCTGCAAATTCTAATTGGGTTATTACATGCAGATGATCTAAAATTAAAGCCATCTTGTATATTTGCATGATCAGGCTTTGGGGCTCGTAGAACATCAGGAAGAGACCCTTGTTCCAATATTCATTGACTTCAGTGAAGCTAGGAATTCACCTATACAATATGTTTACCTAACTAATTTTGAACTTTTTTTCAAAGAAAAGTAGGTCATTTAAATGGTGTGTTGGTGCATATGTGATTATTTTATAATGCGCTGTCATGAATTAGTTCTTTGTTCTTCTGGAATGTGTTACTTCAACAGATGTTAAGAGTTGGTGTTGCAACATCTGCCTGCTAAGCTCAGGCAGATGAGAATATAATGCCTTGATTTTTCCTGTTGTGTAGCAGTAGAAGTGGGCAGTACTCATTGGGTGGGTGGACATGTTCATAAATTTGTGTTTGGGTCTTTAACTATGGCATAGCTGATCTGTACAAAACTTTTTTGTGAATGTACGGAACATAAGTCTTCCCAGGGCAGTAATGTTTTGTTCTGTTGCTGCGCTAGCCCTCACTGTCTGCTGTGTTTGTTGCTAGCTTAAAAATACCTACATGTGCAGTTTAGAACTAGCAGTAAATTCCTTGTGCATCTCTGAAATAATCCTAGAGATGTACAGGAGAGAATGCTGTCTTCCTACTGTAATTCTGAAACAAGCTGTAAAAGTCTCTGTGGGGATGGTATTCACTGGTGAGTACTATGGTTTCCTATAATTCTTCGTTTCATGTCCCATGGGTATCCTGTCAAGTTCAAAATATGAAATTCTATAGATTTTCTTCTTATCAGGAAAATAGCCTTTCAAGATCTTGTCTCAGCACTTTAATCCCATTTGGGTTCTAAATTGCCGTTAACAACTACCATGTTACTTTTATATTGAAATTTTTTTCACCATATATTTTCTGAGGGGTGATGGGATGGGGAAAAGAAAAAAAGGCATTGCATTCCTGCCCTTTTTTGTTTTAACAGCCTTTCCCGTCATGTCTTCCGAAACTAAGTAACACAGAAAAGAAACCAAACCTCACATCAGTGTACTACAGTGAAACTTCATTGAGCCTGGGCCATTACAGAAGAGTAGGCTGGGTTTTGAGCTGAATAGGCTGTACTTTTTCAAGCCAGTTCTTTTACTGGAACATCTTTTTGTAGGTCATGAGACCCTTGTATAACCAACTCATGTGGCTGCTTCAGTACAGGCTCAAATGTTCCCTGGTTTACTCATTGCCTGCTGTGGGCTACTGGAGGCCATACAAGCAAAGGTTGGGTCATTAAAGCAGAACTGTCAGCTTAGCATGGATTCCAAACAAGTGGGTTTTCTGATTTGCTTTTTATGAAGAAACAAAGAGGTTTTGCTGCAGTTTGATAGTTACATTACTTGGAGTACTCTTTGTGGAAGCTGCTTCAACCCCTGTGCATTGTTTGAATGCCTAACAGATGAGTTTAATCATCTTTGAAGTGTTGCAAGTATCCTTGTAGCTCTCTGTGAGTAAAATTAAGCAGATGAATTTTTATGAGCAAACTACACCATTTGTTTTGCAAAGGGTTAAGGGAAGTATTCTGATTTTGGTGGCAGATTCACAGAAGATGTTCCATATCTCCTCTATTAAAACTTTTCTAAGTTATGAAATAATATACTTTGAGGGGAGAGCAATTCTCAAGGGCTAGGAGATGAACCTCCAAAGATATATCTGGTATCTAAAGCTAAATCCTGCTTACTTACTGAGGACTTTATTTGTAGAAATAAAGTCATCAGGATCTGCCTTGAGCAATCCTGAAATAAGGGCCTCTAGCTTTGAATATCTGTATAATGCATTACAGGTTTATATGGGGGGTTTGTACCACAGACTAGTGTCTAAATAGAGGTTAAAGTAGGTGGGGGTTTTTCCTCAGAGTTGACTGTAATACTGTTACAATGCATAACACGCCTTGACCTGATGTTATTAAGTGCCCTTCTTTTAGGAAGTATAAAATATGTTCTTGTTAATGTTTATACTTTGGCTTCCATAGAGCAACTAGGAGACAGAAGTTTTTCATTGTTATCTGATTTTTGTCTATGTGAAGCTGT